CCAGAGGGGCAGCATGACCAGGATTTGGAATGGCAAGAGGGGAGTGGGGAGGCCAAGGAGGACGAACAGGACACGGCCGGATGCGACAAAAGTATAGGAACAAGAGTGACATCGAGGAGGGGGATTGTGGGAGGTGGGTGGGGGGGTGAGATGAGAAGACGTCTGGCCGCGCCAGCTCCTGCGTGAACGCTGCGCGGTCGCCTCGCGGAGTCCGGCGACGGGGGGCCGGGCAGGAGGAGGACGAGGAGGAGGAGGAGGAGAGAGGGAGGAGGAGGAGGAGGGGGAGGAGGACGAGGAGGAGGAGGGGGAGGAGGAGGAGGAGAAGGAGGAAGGGGAAACGGAGTAGGAGGAAGAGGAGGAGGAGGAGGAGGAGGAGGAGGAGGAGAGGAGGAGGAGGAGGAGGAGGAGGAGGAGGAGGAGGAGGAAGGAGGAGAGGAGGAGGAGGAAGAAGAAGAGGTGGAAGGGGAGGAGGAGGGGGAGGGGGGGAGGAAGAGGATAGAGACGACGAGGGGGAAAAAGGAGCATAGGAAGAGGACGCGTACGACGACGCGGACGCGGAGGAGGAGGAGGAAAAGGAGGAGGTGGAGGAGGATGGGATGAGGATGCTGGTGAGGATGATGATGAATCTGTGGAAAAAAAAGAATGGGGGGGAGGAGGAAAAGGAGGGTGAAGAGGACCACTGTAAAACCAAGGGTCATCAACGATGTTGGAATTCGCCCTCCCCCCAACATTCCCACTTCATAGGCCCCCACAGCGGTTCATTTCGTGAGGGAGCTGCCTCTTTGGGAGACAACCGTTTGAATATTCCGAAGCATGCCGAAACATTGTTCTTGGGACGTCAACGCCCCGTATGCACGTAAGTGCTGCCATTTTTGGAACCTCGACATTGCTGGGAATCCGTGAAACTCTTGCAGTTTTCTAAAACGAATGTGCGCGGCGCTCAGGCAACAAAAACAGGTTGACAAACAACCGCTCTCAATTCGTGAAGATCTTGTTATTTTTCCATACTAATTCGCGAGACGGTGAAGCCTATAACCACATTATGAAAAAAAGGGGCCGTCTTCAATCCGTGACTTTTCAGCATATTATATATATATATATGTATGTATATATATGTATATATATATACACATACACATACATAACAAACACGAATGTGCGCGGCGCTGGGGCGAGAACCACATTTTGGAAACCACCCGCCCTCCATCTATGAATATGCTGCCACCTTTTAAGTGTCAGAGTCTAAAGGGTGAGAAAATCTCAGGCGAAGCGCCCGGCCCAACGTAACAACTTGCCTCGGGGTGCGACGGGGAAGGATTATATAAAAGAGTGCACAATGGAGGAGGATGAGGAGGAGGAGGAGGAAGAGGAGGAAGAGGAGGAGGAGGAGGAGGAAAATGAGGAAATGGAGGATGTGGAAAAAGAAGGGGAAATAGGTATTATGAGAGGGGGGACCGTGGGGAAAGAGGACGTGGATGAGGAAGGGGGACGAGGAGGATGTGGATGTGGAAGAGGACGGGGAGGAGGAGGAGGAGGAAGAGGAGGAGGAGGAGGAGGAGGAGGAGGAAGGGAGGACGAGGAGGAGGAGGAGGAGGAGAGGAGGAGGAGGAGGAGGAGGAGGAGGAGGAGGAGGAGGAGGAGGAGGAGGAGGAGGAGGAGGAGGAGGAGGAGGGGAGGAGGAGGAAGAGGAGGAGGAGGAGGAGGAGGAGGAGGAGGAGGAGGAGGAGGAGGAAAAGGAGGAGGGGAGGAGGAGGAGGAGGGCCGGGGGGAGGAGGAGAGGAGGGGAGGAGGAGGGGGAGGAGGAGGAGGAGGAGGAGAGGAGGAGGAGGAGGAGGAGGAGGAGGAGGAGAGGAGGTGGAGGAGGAGGAGGAGGAGGAGGAGGAGGAGGAAGAGGAAGAGGAGGAGGAGGAGCAAGAAGAGGAGGAGGAGGAGGAGGAGGAGGAGGAGGAGGAGGAGGAGGAGGGGAGGAGGGAGGGAGGAGAGGAGGAGGAGGAGGTGGAGGAGGAAAAGGAGGGGGAGGAGGAAAAGGAGGAGGAGGAGGAGGACGGGGAGGAGGAGGAGGAGGAGGAGGGGGGATCAGGAGGAGGAGGAGGAGGAGGAGGAGGAAGACGAGGAGGAGGAGGAGGTGGAGGAGGAGGAGGAGGTGGAAGAGGAGGAGGGGGACGGGGAGGAGGAGAGGAGGAGGAGAGGAGGACGGGGAGAAGGATGGGGAAGGAGGAGGAAGAGGAGGAGGAGGAGGAGGAGGAGGAGGAGGAGGAGGAGGCGGAGGAGGAGGAGGAGGAGGAAAAAGAGGAGGAGGAGGAAATTGTCAAAAATATGACAGCTTCGGAGGAGGAGGAGGAGGAAAGGGGGGAGGACTGGGGGGACGGGGAGGAGGAGGAGGAGGAGGAGGAGGAGGAGGAGGAGGAGGAGGAGGAGGAGGAGGAGGAGGAGGAGGAGGAGGAGGACGAGGAGGAAAAATAGGAGGAGGAGGAGGGATAACATGACGCGTGCGACGGGAGAGGCAGTGCCACCGCCGTTCCAATCCTGCATTCGCGGAAGCAGCTGCTCAAGGACGATGGGCGCAGTGATAGTTGACCTGGAGAGAGGGCGAGGCGTTTGTTGGATGTGCAGTTTTGTGGTCGTCGCGAGAATGCGACGGCGGGAACATTCACGGATTCTCGACCTTTGGTTGACAGCAGACCGCGCAGCGAAGGGGAGATGGCTTGCACGAAGGACCGTTGGAGGTGCTGCGAGGCTGATTCCGCCCGCGGGGCGGTGGCCGGCGGCGCCGGCAGTGGCCGTTGGACGAGGCGTTCACGAAACATTGGTGCCCGAGAGCATGGCAGAAATGCGCGTCAGGCCGCTGGGGATTTCGATAGCTCTTGCCGATGCGATGAAGAGGCCTGGAGGAATGTGTGCACGATGGCGGGGCGGTGGGGGGGGGGCATGCGGCTCCGCCAGGCGGGCCTGCCACGCCGCGCCCAATTGTAGGGGGGCAAGTGAAAAGGGGGGGGGCCTGGCTCCTTTCCCACCCGTCGCCCCTTTCTTCGCCGCCCCCACTTCCTCTGCTGCGCCTGTCCCGTCGCCTTCCTCCTTCTCGCCCCTTCCCCTTGTTCCCCCGGTCCTCCTCGTTCCCTGGTTTCGATTTCAGCGCCGCGGGCGGCTTGCGCGCGCCCCTGGAGATCCCGCTGGGCGACGGGCGCGCTCTGCGGGAACACGCCCGCGCGACGCCTCCAATGGCTGTCCGTGCGCCGCGGGGCGGGCTCCAGAGGGGGGGTGTCCGAGCGCTCGCTCGCTCCTGTGCCCCGACTTCCCGCGCCGTTCGTTCTCGTCTGTCTTTTCCGCGACCCGGTCTCGTCTGCCGCGCCCTCCGTCGCCTCGCTGGCTTCTCGACTCTTGCGGGCGTGTCTGTGTGGGCCTTGGTGGGGTCGCCCCCGCGTGTCGCGCGGCGTTGCGTCCTCGTTTCGAATCCGCGTCGCCGCGCCCCATTTCTCACCCCGACCCCCGCCCCGCCATTTGCGTCGCGCGTTTCGTGGCCCCGCAGGGGTGCCACCGAGGGCCGCGGCGGCGCGCCGCCCCGCCCATGTCGTCGCGCCCCGCGCGCGGTTCGTGGCCCGGCAAGGGGGGTCCGCCGAAGGCCCCAATTTCAACGGTCGGAGGGTGGGTAATGGCCAACATGGCGAATCCTCAAGGCGTCTCGCGGCCCCGCTGGGGGGGGCTTGACCGAATGCCGTTTCGGCGGCGGTCGCATGGCGGCTCCGTTCAACGTTCGGCGAAGGACCTAGTGATGACGATCGCATGGCGCCCCCGCCCCATGTCGGCGCGCCGTTCGTGCGTTTCGTGCCCGACATGCATCTAAAGCGACGCATCTGTTCGTTTCGCTTTTTGGATTTGGTTACATGTCGGCGCGCCCTTCGCGCGTTCCGCGGCTCCATGATCGGGGTTTTGCCAGAAGTGTTGTTGGCAAATATCACATGGCGGCCCCGTTTCATTCCCGCTGACCCCCCGCGCGTTTCGCGGCCCCATCCCACCGCGCTTATCGCGGGCGGCGGTTTCGATGACGTTGACGCCTGATTAAGAACGTAAGCGCAGCGTCTTCTCATTTCATTGTGCGCGTATTTCCGCGTTCTTCCTTGCCTGCGGCGGATTCGTATTTCTCGTCGGTCTTCTCCTTCTCATCCGCTTCGCGGAATCCGCAACTGCATATGATTGGGTCTTTCGCCAGAGTGGTTTTCCTCGGCCCCCGTTTTCTTGTCTTCTTCGTCCCAGTGTGTCTCGTCGGGCCCGTTTTTTTCCCGTCTGTCTGAGTTACCTGCAACTGCGTGTGTCGGGTGGGAACTTCGGCCGACGCCCCTGGCACAGCGACCAGCGATCATTCCGGGATGCTTGCGTGTACGTTGTGGTGCGAGATTGCGTTGCGCTTGGCATCGGCGCGCCCGTAGAGTCCCAGTCGGCGGTCGGCAGGCCAATCTCCACATTATGTTACCATCGCACGGGAAGGCGGACATGCATTCTAGCTTGCCCCAAAAAGGGTCCGACGTTCCCCTCGGGAATTCTGGGGCGCAGTTGTGTTCGCCCACGTCCGCGTTACGGGGTGTTTTTTTGCAAGAGTTGTTGTTTGCCTATGTAGTTCGTGGATTCGTATTGCATATTTGCCCCGTACTGCGTATCCTGGGTCTTCCGTTGTTGCCCCGTGTCCCCTTCCATCCGCTCATTTCCCTCTCATCCCCCGATTCTTTCTTGTGCCGCTGCTTTTGCTCTCCTCTCTCGCCCGCCCTTTGTGTCCCATCCTCGGTCCCTGCTTCGCTCCAGGCCCCCCCGGTCCAAAACGCGCCACGTTCGGCGCAATCCCTTCCTTGCCGGCAGTCTCCGACGTGCTGGCGCCGATTTCGGTATTGCGCCGATGTGCAATGGGCAGGGGCCGTGGCCGGGTGTTTCGCCAGGATGTTCTTCGCCCCTTTCTCCATTGTTTGTCCGTGCTCGTTCGTCAAATTCGCGCTGTCGTCGGCCGCCCCCAGGAAATTGCCATGGCCGAGCGCGCGCGGGAGACCTGCCCGCCCACCCCGTGCCCCCGACGCGCATGTGGAAGGCGAGGACGAGGAACAAGAGGGAGGCAACGACGACGACTACGATGACGAACTTAACTGGCGTGAGGTACGTCATGGGGGGCGGACGGCGGGAATTGGACCATCGCGCGTGCACGATGGACTGACGTGGGCTGACGTGGGCGGGGCGACGAACGGCATGCACGCACACACGTATCCATACACATGTATATGTAGATGTATGTGTATATGTATATGTGGATGTGTATGTCGATGCAGATGTACATGTGTGTGTAGATGTAGAGGTATGCGTGGATATGTATATATACATACATGTGTATATATATATATATGGTCGTTGGCCGATTCCCTCGCCATCGAAGCTCACGACCGCATTGTGCAAGGCAGGAGCGCAGGGTGATGAGTCGACATCCATCCAGCGAGCGCAGCAGGAGGTGACGTCGTTGAAGCAGTTGGTTTTACTTGTTTCGTGCAGGGACCGCTGTTTCGATTGCAGTGCGCAATCTAGGAGGACCGCGGTTGTGCGCAGGAACGGTAGCAACTGGCGCGGCGCAGTGTGCACGAACCTACGCGTGATGCTTCCCAGTCGAATATCCATGTGGTGCTTTCCAATGGATTCCTGTTATGATGCTTCCCAACAGGAGCCCTTCAGCGACGCTTTCCAAACGGGTTTCAATTGTGAGGGTTTCCGCTGGATCTTTTTGCGGTGCTTTTGTGGTGCTTTCCAAAGGGTCATTGTTGCAAGACTTTCCAATATAATCTTTGTGTGGCTTTTCCAAAGCCGTCCTTTGGTGACGTTTTCCTATGCTCATATCCTTGTAGCGCCATCCAACAGATTCCTGTTGCGAGGCTTCTCGTTTGAGTCTCTCTGTGGGTTTTCCAACGGACCTTTTCTGCGCGGCTTTCCCATTGGAGCCTTCCTTTGTGTCTCCAAACAAAATTTATGGCGTGAGGCTGTCCAACATAATCCCGTCAGTAGTGGTTCCCACACGATTCCCACTGTGATGGTTCCCGATCGAATTCTGTTTTGGAAAAAAGGAAACAAATCCTGTTGTGAGGTTTTCCCATATGATATCCCTGTGGTGTTTTCCAATGGATTCCCATCGTGCGGTTTTGCAGACGGATCTCTTTGTGCTGCTTTGCAACGGATAATTTTGGTCTTGCTTCCCACTCGAATCTCATGGTGGTGCTTTCCAAACGATTCCTGGCGTGATGTTTTCCGGTAGAACCGTTTTGCGGCGCGTCCCAACGTATTTCCATTGTGACGGTTTACCGTGTAATCCTTGTTGCTGTGTTTTCCAAAAGTATCCTTGTTTCCCGGCTTTCCAGTCTAATTTTGGTGTACCGTTTTCCCAAACAAGTCCGGCCGTGGGGTTTTCCCATATTGAACCCCTCTGCAACGCAATCCGAAGGATTTTTGTTGTGATGCCTACCGGTTGAGTCCCTTTTGTGGGGTTCCGATGGATCTTTTTTTGTGCTGCTTGTCAGCAGGAGCCTTCCGTGGAGCGTTGAAGCCGGTTTTGTGGCGTGTGGCCGTCCGGTTTAATCATGTCGGTACTGCTGTCCAGCGGATTCCCATTGTGACGGTTTCCGATCGATTGCTGTTGTGCTGCTTTTCATTCCGATCGTGAGGCTTTGCAAGCGAATCTCTTTGTGATGGTTTCCAACGGACTCATTACGTGTTGGTTCCAGATAAAATCTCTTTGTGGTGCGTTCTAAAAGGAGTGTTGGTGTGATGCTTTCCAACAGAACCCTTTTGCTGGGCGTTCCAAGACATTCCATTGTGACGGTTTCCCAGGGAATCCGTTTGATGGTGTGTTCCAAACGATCTTTGTTACGAACCTTGCCGAACAAATTTGTGGTGTTTTCCAGAAGTGTCCTGTCGTGGGGTCATCCGAGGGAGTCTTTCCGCGGCGCTATCCAGTGGATTCCTGTTGTGATGTGTCTCGATTGACGTTTTTTAATGGATTCCTTTTTTTTTGGGGGGGGGGGGCGGCTTTCCAATAAGAGCCCATTCGTGGCACTTCCTGTGTGGCGCTTTGCAAAGAATTTCCTGTGTGTGTGGGGGTTTTCCACAAAAAGGAGCCCGCTGTAACGTTTTCTGGTGGATTCTTGTTGTGACGTTTTCCACTAAAAGCCCTTCGTTATGTTTTCCAACGGATTCGTGTTGTGACGCTTCAAATCAAATCCCTGTGTGGTGTCTTCTCTAACGGATTATTGTTGCGAGGCGCTCCGGTGTAATCCAATCCAATTGTTGCGGTGCCCACAAGATTTCAATCCGAGGCCGTCTGAAAAACCGTGTTAGATTTCTTCGAATGGTTCCATTTGTTTGCTCCCGCGGAATCCTTCCCAGACGCTTCACAAAAAAGGATTCCAAACATTATTGGTTTTAACAAGAATCGTGTTGTTTGACATCGCTTTCCAAAATGATCCCTGGTGTGATTTCATACCGTGGACTTCTTGCGTGGGGCGTACCAAGCCCGAGGTTTCCCAATCGAAAAATTCTGCAGCGCCTTTCAACGGTTTGTTTCGTGACGTTGCCGCACAAAAGCCTCCAACCGTGTTTTCCATCCGATTTCGTTTATGATGCTTGAAAACGGGACCCATTTTTTTGCAATCGGTTCGAGCGGATTCTTGTTGCGGGGCTATAAAGACCACGTGGGGTGTTTTCCGAAGGATTTTTGTTGCGGGCGTTTCAACACAACCGTTTTTGTGATGTTCAAAAGATCTTGATGGTGAGGGTTTCCGATACAGCCTTGTAGAACCATCTTGCGCAGGGTTCCAGTTGTATGTTTTCCCCCCAACCCCGTCTGGAACGCTTCCCAAACTATTATAATGATGATTGTTTCCAAATGCTTCCTGTTGTGGGGCCTCCTCCTCCTCCTCCTCCCCAGGGGGGGGCGTGTCTTTTTAGTTTTTTTGTTTGTTCCCCCCCGACCAGCAGCAGAGTAGAGAGGGGGGGGCGTGCCCCCGAGTTGGTCATGAACCCGAGACATCGAGGTTTGCGTTATCGAGGTCGCCACCACGCGGTCAATTCAGCTGCGCGGTTCACCCCCCGATAAAGAACGAGAGGATGACGAACAAAAACAGAAGATCAAGAAACAAAGGGGTGGGTGAACAGGTCAGGACCGTATGTGTTTATATATATACACATACATACTTGCGCGGATCCGTATACGTACATCCTTGCATACATACATGCTGCCTGCATGTTTGGGGTTACGGCGTGTCCTTTTTGTGTATGTGTGTGCACATCATCAGTTGCCACCTCGGCTCAAGCCACGCAGCATGCAGCGACCAGAAGGCTCCCGCCCCCCCCGCGCCCGACCCCTTCACCCCACGTCTGACGTGTGGTCACAGGTCCTTGGAGGGGATCGCATGATGAGGTTTCTCTTTCGGGTGGCGGTTTACAGTCCATTGTCTCTCATAGAGAGAGAGCTCTCGGTTGGAAGAGATTGCCAGTGTTCTGGACGTGGACCTCCTCCACTTCGACGGCACAAGAGTTCGCGAATGGCCCGACCGTCAATTTCACGTCCAGGGCCTGCCATATTGACGGACATCAATTCACTTCGGATGGCGACGCTCTCCATCTGTGACCGACTGTGCGGGCGCATGCATCGTGGTCGGCCGACGACTACGACGGAATCGCATCACGGCGGTCACACCAGCGCCGCGAGGACTGGAAGGCCGACCGGGAGACATTCGCATCAAATCTGGCGGCTTCGACATCCTGGCAGTGATGGGCTACCCTCGCCCACTATATGAGACGGGCGCGGCGAAGCGAGCCCGACAGCGCAGCGTCGAGTTGATTATGCACCGCATTCATGACCGACTAGCAGGAGCTCCTGCTCGATGCGAACCAATTGCAAGCTTGGGCGTCAACTCAGGGTTCGGCTACCGTGCGACGGAAGAGACGCGGCTCGACCCCGAGGAGCACCGCTTCGGCGCCTTCCACCTCGAGCGCAGTGGCATCTCAGGCGCCAAGCCGTACGATGCCCTCTCGTCCTCGACCTGGCGTGCGTGAACACCTTCCACCCCAGTGCTGGCCCGACCTACTACGGTCCTAAGCAGGAGACCAGCGCGATCGACGCTGGCGCCATCGCTTCTTCCCTCCTGGAAGGCCTTGAGACCTGCGCCGTAGCTGGGAAACGTGGGCGCCGACTCCAGGTCGTCCCCGATGCCCGACCGCGAGACTGCCTCCCCCTGTTCTTCACCATTGACTACGAGATGCCGGCCTTTGTACATCGCCAACTACGCCCGCGATGCGACTGCGCCATGCTAGCCCGAGCACTTCAGCACGGGGGGGGCAGACTCGAATTCCACGGAGACCTTGACCACAACATGAAGGACATCAACAGCCTGTTTTCCGACTACGCTGAACTTGCACACCCTGGCTTCGATTGCGACCGGTGGGCCAAGACGTTGCCGGGCGTTGCCCGAACCCACTTTGGAGCTTACAACGGCAGGCGCGACCGTGACGAGGTCGCCCACTGGCGACAGATCCGAGTTGAGAAACTCCGAGTTCGCCGATAATTGCGCGACCAACTGGCCCACCTGTGGCAAGTTCACGGAGATGTCCTGGACCACTGCGAAGTATGCCTGGGCGCCCTCGAGCGCGAGATCAGCGAGGCCACGCATCAAGTCAGGCGAGAATCTCGACGAGGTTGCGCCGCGTGCCGCAAGTGCCTGTACCAGGGGCTGGTGAGGGCCCGACGCCTGGGTCGCGCTGCAGATTTGCACCGCGTCGCGCGACTCCTCGCGGGCGCGGCCGCGGGTGTGGGGAACCGCATCTATTGCCACCGCCCTAGCCACATGCCCTCCCTCGCCGAATTAAAGGCCCGCGCCGAGCGCCGGGGCAGTGAAGGGGGCGCGGCGGCATAACGCATCGACTTCCGTGCTGGGCTAGATCAATTTCTTCTCTCCACAAGACGACGATTATTTACGTGTGCGCACGGCTGCCATGGAAATCGCAGCGCAGG